GTGCAAAGTCCTTTTTTGTGTTGTTAGATGCTGTCGAGTCATCTCCAACTCATAATGACCTTACATACAACAGAACGAAACATTTGCCTGGTTCTGTGCGAACCTCATGATCCCTGACACACCCGAGCCCATCGTTGTACCCACTGTGTCAATCCATCTCATTGAGGGCCTTCCCCTTTTTTACTGACCCTCCACTTTATCAAGGATGATGTCATTCTCTAGAGAATGTTCCCTTCTGTAAACATGACCAAAGTAGGTGAGATGAAGTCTGGCCATTCTCGCTTCCAAGAAGCATGCCAGCTGCACTTCCTTCATGACAGATTTGTAGGTTCTAATAGCAGTCCATGGTACTCTCAGTAATCTTCACCAACACCACAACTCAAAAGCATCAACTCTTCTTTGGTCTTCCTTATTCATTGTCCAGCTCTCAGGTGTATATGAGGCAACTGAATATACCATGGCTTGGGTTAGACGCATCTTAGTCTTTAAGGAGACATCTTTGCTCTTCAGCACTTGAAAGAGGTCTTTTGCAGCAGATTTTCCCAATCCAGTAAGTTTTCTGATGTCTTGACTGCTGCTTCCATTGGTTGATTGTAGAACCAAGTAATAGGAAGTCTTTGACAACTTCAATCTTTTCTCCATTTATCATGATGCTGCTTATTGGTCCAGTTGTGTGGATTTTTGTTTTCTTTATATTGAGGTGTAATCCATACTTCAGATTGTAGTGTTCAATCTTCATCAGTAAATGCTTCAAGTCATCCTCACTTTCAGCAAGCAAAGTTGTGTTGTCTGCATATCACAGGTTACTAATGAGCCTTCCTCCAATCCTGATGCCACATGCTTCTTCATTTCAGCATACAGACTGAATAAGTATGGTAAAAGGATACAACCCTGACACACTCCTTTCCTGATTTTAAACCATGCAGTATCCCCTTGTTCTGTTCAAACAACAGCCTCCTGGTCTATGTACAGGTTCCTCATGAGTACAATTAAGTGTTCTGGAATTCCCATTCTTCTCAATGTTCTCCATAATTTGTTATGATCCACACAATCGAATGCTTTTGCATAGTCAATAAAATACAAGTAAACATCTTTCTGGTATTCTTTGCTTTCAGCCAAGATCCACGTGACATCAGCTATGATATCCCTCGTTCCATGTCCTCTTCTGAATCCAGCTTGCATTTCTGGAAGTTTTCTGTCAATATACTGCTGCAACTGCTTTTGAATTAACCTTCAGTGAGATTTTACTTGTGTGTGATATTAATGATACGGTTTGATAATTTCCACATTCTGTGGGATCAGCTATCTTTGGAATGGGTACAAATATGGATCAAAGTCCTTAGTCATTAAAAAAACAGTTGCTATTGAATCAATTATGGCATATGGTGACTGCATGTGTCAAAGTAGAACTATGCAACACATGATTTTCTGGAAATAGATTATGAGACCTTTCTTCTGCAGTGCTTCTGTTGTTGTTGTTGTTGTTGTTGTTGTTATTTGCTGTCAAGTCAGCCCCGACTCATAGTGACCCCTCCTTGGGTTTCCAAGGCAGTATCACTACGGAAGTAGGATTGCCCAACCTTCCTTCCAAGGAGTGGCTGGTGGGTTGTTGTCAAGTTGTCTCTGACTCATAGTGACCCTATGCACAGCAGAACAAAACACTGCCCGGTCCTGTGCCAGCCTCACAATCCTTGCTATATCTGAGCCTATTGTTCCAGCCACTCCATCAATCCATCTCGTTGAGGGCCTTCCCCTTTTTCACTGACCCTCCACATTGCCAAGCATGAACTCCTTCTCCAGAGAATGGTTCTTTCTGAAAACATGACCAAAGTAAGTGAGGTGAAGTCTGGCTACTCTCACTTCAAAGGAGCATTCCTTGGAATGGATACAAATATGGATCTCTTCCAGTCAGTTGGCCAGGTAGCTGTCTTCCAAATCTCTTGGCATAGCTGAGTAAGTGCCTCCAAAAGGGCATCTATTTGTTGAAACATCTCAATGGGTATTCCGTCAATTCCTAAAGCCTTGTTCTCCGCCAATTCCTTCAGTGCAGCTTCGACTTCTTCCTTCAATACCACTGGTTTTTGATCATATGCCACCTCCTGAAATGGATGAACATCAACGAATTCTTTTTGGTACAGTCAGTGTATTCCTTCCATCTTCTTCTAATGTATCCTGCATCGTTCAATATTTTGCCCAAAGAATCTTTCAATATTGCAACTCGAGGCTTAAATTTTTTCCTCAGTTGTTGCAGCATGAGAATTCCTCAGTGTATTCTGCAGTTCTGGTTTCTAACTCCAGGTCTTTGTACATTTCATTATAATACTTGGCTTTGCCTTCTCAAGTTGCTCTTTGAAATCTTGTGTTAAGCTCTTTTATCTTGTCATTTCTTCCATTTGCTTTAGTTACTCTCCACTCAAAGGCAAGTTTCAGAAGCAGTGCTTCTGTGTGGACACAAATCTCCAAAGAGTTTTTGTTTGTTTGTTAGAAGCTGAGTACTTTAACCATTTGCACCACCCTGGGATGCCTCCTTAGTAATTAAACTTGTGCCCATTCTGACTCATGGTGACTTCATGTGCTACAGAGTAGAACTACTCAATAGGGCTTTCTTGGCAATAATCTTTACAAAAGTAGCTCTGCAGGCCTTTCTTCTGCAGCACCAATGGATGGGTTCAAACTGCCAACCTGTAGGTTAGTAACTGATAAAGTATCACCTAAGACCCTCGAGGATGTCTATTATCACAAAAACAGAAAATAAAAGGTGTTGTAGAGAACAGAGAAATCAGAATCTCATGCATTGCTGATGGGAATGTAAAATGATATATATAGCACTATGGAGAACAGTTTGGTATTTCTTTAAAAATTTAAACATAGAATACAAACCAAACCAAACCAAACTCACTGCAATCGAGTCAATTTGACTCATAGTGACCCCTCCTTGAGTTTTCAAGGCAGTATCTCTATGGAAGTAGATTGCCTAATTTTCCTTCTGAGGAATGGCTGGTGGGTTTGAACCGCCAGCCTTCTGCTTAGCAGTCAAATGCCTTATATATGACCTAGCAATTCCACTCCCAGGTAAATACCCAAAAGACTTGAAAACAGGGACTCAAACAGATACATGTACACTATGTTCACTACAGCATTATTCACAATAGTTAAAGATGGAAGCGAACCAAGTGTCCATCAAAAGATGAATGGATAAACAACATGTGGCATATACATACAATTGAGCATTATTCAGTCATAAAGAGAAATGAAGTTCTGATAAATGCTATGCATGGATGAACCTTGAAAACATCATGCTGAGTCAAATAAGCCAATCATAAAAAGATACATATTGTACAATCACACTTACATGAAGTATCTAGATTAGGCAAATGCACAGAGACAAAAGTATATTAGTGGTTACCAGGGGCTGGTGGGAGGTGGAAATGGGAGTTATTGTTGAAGAGGTACTGAGTTTCTGTTTGGGGTGACATAAAACTTTTAGAAATGTATAGTGGTGTTGGTAGCACAACACAATTAATGTCCCAAATTGTACTCTTAAAAACGGTAGACTCTTTGTCATATATATATATTATCATAATAATTTTAAATCTCCCATCAGTTATGACAAATGCTATTGATAGATATATCAAGTAGGAAAGTCAGTCATTGTATTTCTTTCCCACAACAGCAAATTCTGAAAAACTGAAACAGAAAAAGTGAAAAATGTCATTGGTGTTCACTGACCAGTGATAGAGGAAAAACAAATTCATACCAGTGTTGTCTAATATATATGATGTTTATTCATTTTCATTACAGGTATACTCTTCCAACACAGCATACCTTCTTTCTAACATCCACATGAAACAAAGTTTCGATGAGCACAGCGATTATCTTGGGCATCATTAATTTTAAAACATCCTAAGGTTTTATCAGCTGAGCCTCTCGTCTGAAGTAACCAGTGTCTCCTATTCAGCTACCAGGCTTTCCCTAGACCATGGCAAATGCAGGTTTGGCATTAATTTAAAGGTTGGGATAGTTTCCAAAAAAAGAATAGACAGAAGTGTCAACATTAACTGAGGTTTTAAAGAAAAAGATCTATGGACTGTGAGCAGCTCCTGGAGGGTAGACGCTCACCTCCCACAAAGTGTGTGTGTGGGGGTGACAACCAAACTCACTGCCGCGGAGTCGGATCTGACTCATAGCGACCCCTCCTTAGGTTTCCAGGCGGTATCACTACGGAAATAGATTGCCCAGTCTTCCTTCCCAGGAGTGCCTGGTGGGTTTGAACCGTCAGCCTTCTGGTTAGCAGTCAAATGCCTTAGGCACTATGCCAGAACCCCACAAAGTAGACGTTCAATAAATAATTTTTATTTAACTTTGGAGAAGTTTCATTTTACAGCGCTAAAGGGGTACGAACTTCAGGGCACTGCACTCTCCCGAACACCGTTACATCCCCACTGCCCTAACATCCAACACCGAGAACGGACCGGCCAGTTCAGCATCAGTGCAAGCACCCTGGTAAATAAAGACAACGAGGGTCTGCGCAAGACCGCATTCCACATCCTAAGGTTAAAAGAAATAAAATCCTTCGCCCTCGGGCCACCGCTCACCTACCTCCGAAACCAGGAAGACAACCGGCCTCCAGCCGCCTCGGAGGGAACACCCCTGCACACCCCTTACGCTGTCAACGGACTAAGCCCAAGGCGGAGGAGTCTCCAGTGCCAGGGAAGGAGGATTCAGGAGGGCGCAGCGCTTTAGCTGGTCCTACTCGGCCTCGGAGCCGGGGCCGCTGCAGCAGTTCCCTCAAGTGCTTTGGGGCTTGTGCAAGCGCTCCAGCCCTGTCGCTTAGCAACCTGAGAAGCTGTCCAGTCTTTCCAACACGTCAAGTCCCCGCCCTTCTAGAGTATGTATGCCATTTAAAAAAAGATATGCTTCCGGGTCAAGTTAGTTTTGCGCAGCGGAAGGACTCTTCACTTCTCACATTTAACTTTGAAGGAGAGTAAAATCTCAATTGCGCGCTTATGGGTGATGTAACTAAGCAGGTCTGTCTCTCCTCCTTCGAGTTACACACGCCTCCTCTCCCGCCAATTGCTAGGCGCCATCAGGGAGGAGCTTTGCTCATTAGCCCAAACCATCTTTTCACCGTCCTCCAATCACAGCTGCGCGCCCTTGGGAACTACTTTACAGTAGCCAAACAGCGCAAGGAGAAGGGCGTGAGAAGACCATTTGGTCTTGGGAAGTGTAGTTTAATACTGGAAGGAAATGTTTCGGAGATTTCACTAACACCAGGCAGCGTAAACTACAGTTCCCAGAGGGAGTCGCGTTTGGCATAGAACACTTTCTGCTTAGCACCTCTCGCTCTGCTCCAGTCGGTTCTGCAGTAGAGGTGACCTGACTCTTTGAGGCTGGTTGTGCAGGTGTTGAAATTGTCCACGCAGTTCCCAATCATGGTGAGTGTGGGCCTCTGGCTCCTGTCCACCTCCTGGTGCCGCGCCTTTTTGTGGGATTTCTTGAGCTTGAAGGGCTTTTAGGGGGCAGCTGTGCGAGGCGTTGCCCTTCGCGCCCTTTGAAAAGCCAAGCGTTGAAGCTCTCCAGCTCATCCTCTGGGGACTATCGCAGTGACCCAGTAACTGGGGAAGGGATTGATTTTTACCTGGGGGGCTCTTGGAAAGATTCCAGAGACTTCACTGTCCTTGGAGAAACTTGATCTCAGCGCTGCTGCGTGGCGGGGGACAAAATAAGAGGCTGACGATTTTCTCCAAAGAACGTTAAGTTTGATATTGGTGAGGGAAAGGTCAGGATTTAAACCTCTTTTTCCCTCTTTAAGCCTGCAGTATTTTTAAGGTCTTTTGTCACAGAGTCCTTGAAAGCAGAAGGCCCTGGACTGTGATGGTAGTGCTTCCCAGGTGCTCTAGATTTTGATCTGCGTTTTGAGGCGATGTGTTTCCGCCATATCTAATTTCACAAAATGTTATTTAAAACCTGTTCTTCTATTGGAATGCCAGGATTTCTTGGAGCAAATGCATCACTAGCCAAGTATCTGGTAAAGATCTTTACGTTATGAATTCCAGAAACACTACTTTGAAGTGCAATACATTGTAACCATCTTGTCATGTAAGATCTGGGTACCTGGATCTCCATATCTTGTCTCTGCAGAAAGGCAGAAGTGGGGGTTGGTGGGGAAACTCTGACGTAGGAGTCATTTGCATACAGTTTGAAGGTGATATTTGACATCAAACTGAGATAAATTGCTTCGGTATTTGTATTTACAATTGAGGTTATTTTTTTTCCCTTTTTTGAAAAATACTGAATGGGTGGGGAATGTGGGGAAATGTTAGAATGAATTGGAAATTTCCCAGAAATAGAAAAGACATTTTCAAGGCAAGGGCATCTTTACAAGGGTCCAGTGGAGACAGCTATTAATTGCCAGTAACTGTTAAATCTAGGTTTCCTGTATGTTTTGTCAGATAACATAATGAGACATTTAAATGATGGTTTCAGTTCTAATAATTGTAGCAACAAAGAAGAGGTACCTTTTATCAGAAAACTTTAGACTTTATCTTTTTATAACCAGATAGGACTTTTAAAGGTCATCTTGGAAAACCTCCCTGCCTCAAATCTTAAAATTGAGATTATTGAGACCTAAAGAGAGCTCTGATGGTGCAGTGCCTAAGGCATCTGACTGCAAACCAGAAGGTGGTGGTTCAAACCCACCAGCCACTCTGTGGAAAGAAGACTGGGCAATCTACTTATGTGAAGATTTACTGCCTTGGAAACCCATTGGGGGTCGAATGTGGTTTGCTTATATTTACACAGCAGTTTGCACCATGCTCTTTCCATTTTACCTTATTGTGTCATACAGACACTTAAGTTATTATGAAAATACAAGCTCATACTGTAACTACAAACTCAACTATGTATCAGCATTTAAATTACCTCATAGTTTTGTTCTTTTCAATCCCAAATATTGGAATTCTAGAATTAGAAAGGAATCAGGAGGTTGTTTTATCTAACCTTAAAATACAGTCTGGTGACGTGAGTGATTTTCCCAAGGTCACAGAGATCCTGGGCCCCTGATTCTTGTGTTGTTTTTGCTGCACAGTAGATCAGGCCAGGCCTTACTCCTGGAAAGTCACTCGAGTGCCAGATAATATAGACACTGTGCACAGAGGAAGAGTCCTTCTCTTGGTTGCCTGATGCTGACAGCAAACTCTCACATGACTCAATCTCCCTGCCTCCTTGAGAGAGTGAGTGAACAATCACTGAGCTTGGGAAGAGCTAATCTGTTATAAGCCAATTCAAAGCTATTGTTTTAAAGGAATAAATTCTTTGCTTGTGTCTGTAGGAAGTGATAACAAGAATAAATGGTATAAAGGAATCCAAATGATACTGCTTGTTTTTTATACAGAAATATAATTAGAAAGTAAAATCTTGGGTCTTGCTGTGGAGTAACAGGACAAGCATTTGGATTTAAGCTTTACCACTGAGACTTTAGAACATGGCAAGACAGAGCCAGCATCTGCAGGAAGGTCATTAGTGCCCTGTCAAGAGCAAAAACATTCCTTCTTTGGATCTTGGCAGACTGCCCAGATATCTGAGCAAAGAATAGTAACCTGTGTTCACACTGTAACATTGGGAAGAGTCAGTGGGACTCACCCACCCTCCTTTTAAACTGCAGTTGGAAAAGAGCTGAAAGAACTAAATAAAGCACTTCTTTCCCTATTTTTATCATCAAACATTCAGGTACTAACTAGACTTCATACCACTCTTAACAAGATGGAATTACCTACCTATGAAAATAATGTGTCCAAGGTAACAGAGAGAAACTGCTGAGGTGGAATTAGCTATTTATCAGTTGGCCACAACCCCCTCATTAAGGACAATGACAACTGTGGGCACATTTTTTTGGAAGCTAAAATTGACTGCATTAATCCTCTCTGACCATCTATCCACCTGAGTTTCAGGGAGGTTAAGCCTTTTAGTTTTTCTTTTTCTTACCCAAGTTTTCTTTTTATTGAAGTAGCATATCTGTTTGTTTTTGTCCTTACCCTTACTGTCATTCATTCAACAAATATTAAATTTTAAATGCACTTTTAAAATATGCAGTTGTCTTATAAAGAAAATCCTAAATATCTTCTAGGTAAAACAGCACACGATACGTTGGAGTTTCTGGGTGGTGTGAATAGTTATGCACTCAGCTACTAACCAAAAGTTTGGCGGTTCATATCTACCTAGGGACACATCAGAAGAAAGGCCTGACAGTCTGTTTCCAAGAAATCAACCATTGGAAACCCTGTGGAGCACAGTTCTACTCTGACACACATGGGATCACCATGAGTCATAATCAACTCGAAGATTTGTTTTCTTTTTGGTAGTAAAATGTTAATGGGTCTCTTTAATTGCAGGCTGAACCGATCAGAGTCCTTGTGACTGGAGCAGCTGGTCAAATTGCATATTCCCTGCTGTACAGTGTTGGAAATGGTGCTATCTTTGGTAAAGACCAGGTAGGAGCAACTATTTGTCAGTCCTATGTCATCAGAGAATATTGTTAAAAAAGCCCTGTATTTAATTGCAAATAAATTATAAAAGAGTGAAGGAATGGGTAATCCCAATAAATGTAATAGGCGAATCACTATAAATGGAAGCTGGTAAAATGTTTATATGCACCGTTAAGGCCTTAAAAACGCATTGCAAATCAACTATTCTACATATTTACTTAACTTGCTCCATGCAGCCCACAGATGGCAGTCCCAGGGAGATGTTCACTAATGACAGCACCTATTAGGGAGAATAGGTGGAATAAAAAGTTACTGCATCAGCATTTCCTTGTTTTTAAAAAAATGGAGTTTGAGTACCAAACAGTAGGGGAGACAGCCCAATTCCAGCAGGTCTGAGTAGCATACACTAAAATTATTGTCTAAAGTATTCATTAATTCATTCACTTGGCACACAGATACTAAGTTCTTCCTTCATTCCAGATACTGTTTTCCATAAACTGAAATCAAATGTGTAGCTATTAGCAGTCAGAGAAAGCTGTGGCTTGTCATTTCAATTTGGTGTCTTTCTCATGTACTCCTTAGAAACTCAGCATGGGTGAATTTTCTGTGTCTGACAGAAAGCCACTGCTGGTTTTATAGGTTTCCTTTTCCTGAAAATAATGCAGTATTAGATGCCTTAACTCCATGAATAGGGAAATTGTACACACAATTATACACATACACAATAAACAAAACTATACTGGAGGCCTTTTTTGTGACTGAATGACGTAGGCTGCACTGATGGATGCTGTCTTTGCTATTTGGTAGCCCCTGATTCTCGTGCTATTGGATATCACACCCATGATGGGTGTCCTGGAAGGTGTCTTAATGGAACTGCAAGACTGTGCACTTCCCCTCCTGAAAGGTGAGTTGTGGGGACTAGAGAAGAGGGACTTTATAGTATTTAACATCTTTCAAAATACATTTTTATAATTAGAATTGTTAACTAGCCTCTGAATTAGAAATGATTTCATAATTTTTTTTTAAACTACAGCTACTTGGTAAGATATGTATCAAGAATAAATAAGGATAAAAACCAAAATTAACCAGTATCAGGCAAACAACTGTATTTTTTCCCAAACTGCTTATATGTATATAATTTATTATGCTACTTAAGTATAATATTGCACAAGGGTTATACACCCAAGGTTGTCTACATTGTCGTGCCACTTAAAGTCTTGTCACATGGGTGCAGTAGTAGCATCCTGCAGTGGAAAACTTTTTCAATTCTAAATGGTATCCTCCAGAGCTGTATGGTGCCCTGAGGCTGAAGTCAGGTAGTCTCTTCTATGTAGCCCATCCCATCTACTAGTCCTCTAGTTAAGTGAAAATCATGTACTTCATAGTTTGAAAAAGGCCCCCAGAGTTCTGCAAAATGCCTTTGAGATTCATTGAGTGGTTAAAACTTCAGTTAACTGTTAATGTAAGACAGAAGTCTTAAATGTTAGATATCATTTGATTAGAAGATTCATTAAAACATTAGGTTAATGGTGGAACCACTGAGACTATGGCCCCTAGCTACCCTTCAGGTCTGGAATTGAGACCACACCTGTGGTTTCCAGCCAAGCAAAGTACAGGTATGTGAGTTGAACATTTACCTCAAGTGGACACATGCCCTTGAGAGAACAATCATGGGAGAAGGAAGGGCACCTTATGCACAGGGAGACAGCTTAGGGGGCAGGAGATTATGGAGGGATGGACACTGGGAAGTGGTGCCTTGGGGAGGAAATTGGAGGGGAGCTGTTGCATTGTGGTAAATTGTGGTCAATGACATGAGACAAAGTATATGTGAACTGCTGTATCGAGAGTGATTTTGCTCTGTAAATCTTCACCTAAATCTAAATAAAATAAAATTAAAAAAAAAAAAAAAACATTAGGTTAAGTTATAAGCTAATTTAAATATTTTTCTTTAGGTATGCTTTCATCGTAGTCTTCCTCTTGTGGTAAAAATTAATTAATGATACTCTTAGAAGCCTGAACAAAGCAATATGTATATCCAAAAGAAACCATCCTCAAAATCCATATGTCTGTTCAATAAAAATTGACTAAAAGGGATATTCTACCATCTGAAGCATTTACTTGAATAGACACATAAGAGAATAAATACGTTACTCTGCTTCAACTGTTGTGCTGGCTCTCTTTTCTCATCACTACTTTCTCCATATCAGCTTTCTCTGCTGCCTTTGTCTCCCATTTTATTCCTTTCTCTGCTGTGTTCCCTCTACTCTCTAACTGGCCAAGGTTACAGTCATCTTGTCCTTGGGCAGCTGTGACTATGACAGGAAAGGATAGATTCATTAAGTAAAGATGTATGGCAGGGAAGAAAAAGATGGGTATTTTTTTCTAGCTTCTGTTCCTATATGCACCTGTCGAGGGGCTTAATACAACCTGCCGATGACACAAGTTCACTGGCCTGAAAATTTACCACTGAGAAAGTGAAATCCAGGTTTGACCTTTTAGGACCTGGAGAGAGAGAAAGAGACAATACATGTTCTTTAATCCAAACACAAGTCGTGTGTATTGAGTGGACTAATACTCACTATAACCTAGTAGTTGAACTCTGGACTGACCTTTGCTATAATTATAGCTCCACTACCTTTTAATGACAACTAGCAAATCTCTTTATACCTCAGACTCTTCATCTGTAAAATGTGAAGATTAAATTTGATAGTGCATATAAATTTTAGCATTATTGCCAACACAAAACTCAATAAACATTTATTTTTAATTTGTTAATGGTGTTGACCTTAAGGCACTTATAATTTATAGAATTAGGTGAATTACTTGCTGTTTTGTGTTATCTGTGGTAACTGATATCGATAACAAATGTTGCTTTAAGTTTTTCATCTTAAATCTTGGATTATATGTGATTATAAAAGACAGCTATATTGAACATTTACATTAGGTAGATACACTCCTTGGAGAGATCAATCATGGGAGAATAGAAGAGCCATGTATGCACAGGGAGACAGCTTGGGGGGCAGGAGTGGATGGGAGGAAAGAACATAGGGAAGAGGTAACTGAGAAGGAAATGGGAGAGGAGCTATTGCATTGTGGGAAATAATAGTCAATGTCATGAGACAAAAGTATATGTGAGTTGCTATATGGAAAGTGAATTTGCTCTGTAAATTTTTCCCAAATCACAATAAAAATTAAAAAAAAAAAAAAGACCACTATAGAATTTTTGAAATGGAGGTAATTGAAATAAGAAAAGCAAAACAAATGTATTGATATTTCTGTTAATGTTGTAGTTAATATGTTATCTATAAATTAATATATAAGGTTTTTTTTCTTAGACTCCTAAAACCTTTATAAATTTGATAAAAGTAAACATTTGCTACAAAGTAAAAGAATTAATGGGTAGGGTCAATATGAAAAGAAAACAAACTTCAAACTTTGGTTTTTAAGTAGTTCTCTGTATTTTTTGCTATGTTTATAGATATCATTGCAACAGATAAGGAAGAGGTTGCCTTCAAAGACCTGGATGTGGCCATTCTCGTGGGTTCCATGCCAAGAAGGGAGGGCATGGAGAGGAAAGACTTACTAAAAGCAAATGTGAAAATCTTCAAATCCCAGGGTGCAGCCTTGGATAAATATGCCAAGAAGTCAGTTAAGGTGACAACACTGTATTTTATGGCCTTTCCACATTAGTATTTGAAACTTCTGTTTTAGGTGAAAACTAAAATTGTTTACCTTACTTATTTTTTTCAGTTCTATACATTATTCAGTAAATACAGATACAGATTTTTGCTTGATAAACTCTACCTTTCTGTTTTTCTTTCTTAGATGAGTAGAAATCTGTATTCAGAGTTGCCTATTACAATGACATGAAAATTTATTATTAGTTCTTAAAAGGCAGCACAGAACTTTCTGGTGCTTTTGCACTAACATGCTTGGCTGGCTGGGAGTATTTTTTCAGATATTTGGATTTATGTGTGTAATTGTGGAAGGAGATGGCTGTACAACTGCATTTGTCCTTGGCAATAGTAAGTGGTAGTTACTAATTGCTCAGATTTTCTTAATCCAGGGGAATTTTAGTATGATTGCTTCTTGAGGAGGTTGAGACTGGATGACTTCCTATTTTGTCTCTGTGTTTAAGCTAGTTATCTAGTCAGTACTTTAGTTTCTGAATTTGGCTTGATATTTCAATCATGCCTTTTACCAATTAGCTATTAGTTAACAAGAACAAGCTAAAAAAAAAAATTATGTATACACGCAGGAGTTCTGGTGGTGCCTAAGACATTTGACTGCTAACCAGAAGGCTGGTGGTTCAAACCCACTCACTACTCCTCAGAAGGAAGACTGAGCAATCTACTTCTTTAGAGATATTGCCTCAAAAACCCAAGGAGGGGTTGCTGTGAGTTGTAATCAACTCAGTGGCAGTGAGTTTGGTTGGTTTTGGATGTATACATGGCTGTATTTTAATTCAGGATATTCCAAACCTCCCCAGTACAAAAAAATAGCCTGAAGTATTTTTCTCCTAAAGATTGATTCAGTAGGTCTGGGGTGGGTGGACCCTGGAAATACATTTTAACAAATATGCCAGGTAATTCTTAGGATTAGGCAAATTTAAGAAACACTTTTTTAATTCATAGAGACAAATTGTCCTGAAATAAATTGCTCAATTAGAATCAAATTTCTTGGACTACTGTTATAAGAAGGAAAATTTCACAAATGAATCCAACTGTGAGTTACTTAGAGGACTTATCTGTAAAGAAATACCCGGATCCGACTCATAGGGACCCCTCCTTGGGTTTCCAGGGTGGGATCACGCAGAAGTAGATTGCCCAACCTTCTTTCCAAGGAGTGGCTGGTGGGTTTGAACCGCCAGCCTTCTGGTTAGCAGTTTAATGGCGTAGGCACTACACCATCAGAGCTCCCAAAGAAATACTGCCTCTGTTTTGGCACATTAGAATAGAAAGACAGGTACCTTTGCTCTTGGATATTGCCTCCTTGGAAGTGATTTATATAAAAAATTATGGCTGTATTAAGTGTTTTCAGTAACCACTCCAAATACTAATAAAGTAAAAAAAGTTTTTAAAAGAAAGAGTAGAAACTTAACTACAAATTACAATGGTAACTATATGTATTTGGCTCATAAAAACTTAGTACAAAGACTACATGTGATAAAGTTTTAAGTCATATTCAAGATAGTTTAGTCAGTCAGTATACTGTCTGTAACTCTTCTGCACCTCCTATGCACTGTAGGTTATTGTTGTGGGAAACCCAGCCAATACTAACTGCCTGACTGCTGTGAAGTCGGCTCCATCCATCCCCAAGGAGAACTTCAGTTGCTTGACTCGTTTGGATCATAACCGAGCTATGGCTCAGGTAAGAACAAGGCCTTTTCAAACTAATGAATATTACACTTTAAAGCATTCTCTCTCACTTTTAAAGTAGCTGAGTCTAGTTTATGCTTTTTGTTGTTGTTGTTTCTTTAGTAGAAAGCTACTGCAGTTTATTAGGGAGTCCTTAAATCTGTTCTTTTGAGGACCAGAGGCTAGACTTACCTACTTCATTTTATGTTCAACTATATATCAATTGGAGCTCTGGTGGCATAGTGCCTAAGGCATTTGACTGCTAACCAGAAGGCTGGCGGTTCAAACCCACCAGCCACTTCTCAGAAGGAAGGTTGGGCAATCTACTTCCATAGAGATACCCCCTTGGAAACCCAAGGAGGGGTCGCTATGAGTTGGTATTGACTCAACAGCAATGAGTTTGGTTTGGTTTGGTATATTTCAATTGCTAAGTATAATCAAATGCAGGTGCTTAATGTTGCCCTGCTCTATCATGGTTAAAATTTGTTACTACTGTTGATAATTAGGGTTGCATTTTTAGGTTGGTTTTTTTTTTTTTTTTTTTTTTTTTTTAATCAAATGTGTTGTTGTTGTTGTCATATGCGGTCGAGTCAGCCCCAACTCATAGTGACCCCTCCTTGGGTTTCCAAGGCAGTATCACTACAGAAGTAGGATTGCCCAACCTTCCTTCCAAGGAGTGGCTGGTAGGTTTGAACCACCAGCCTTCTGGTTAGCAGTTAAGTGCCTTAGGCACTATGCTACCAATAATATGTAGCAGCTTATAAAAACAAAGAGTCGAGCTTTATGTGTTTGTGTGGTTCTGCTTCCTTTTTTCCCTGCAGCTAAGCAGAAAAATTTAGATTTTTAATTTGAATGTCTTAATATTATGTTATGGTGCCATAAGATTTCCTACTTTTCACTATTTAGGGGCTAAAATTGTTGACAATTTTCCTCACCCCTTAGAGTCTTAGATAAATACGTCAAGTAGGCAGTTACAGTGACCAGGGCGTATTACCTAAGGCTCCTGGGAATAAGAGAAATTAACAATTAAAATAGCTTTTCATGTACATTTGCACCCAAGGCACGATTTTAAAAAAAAGAGAAAAAAAGATAATAATAATAAAAAACAGCTTTTAAAAAAATCAGAGGCCATGCCATTCAATCAAGTGAGTTTCCTAGGCTTTCTCAAACACTAGGCACTCCTAGAACCCTGGGAAGTCGCAACAACGTTCCATTCTTTATCCTCGTTGTTTTTCTGGGCATCACTTATCCATGGATCATCACTGATAGGTCTGTGAAGTTCCTTTTCCTTAGAGAGAAATGATTTTGTTCAGTTTTAAGAAAACTATATTTTTTATCGGTAGATGGTGTGAGGTCTAGGTTGAAAAACCACTCCATCCTTAACTGGGAATTGATCATATTTCAGCTCTGAAGTGCTCATTGAAGAAGAAAAGAATGTGTATTTCTTTCTAAGCTTCTACTGAAAGAACTCTGGTGGCATAGTGGTTAAAGCATTTGGCTGTTAACAGAAAGTCAGCTGTTTAAACCCACCGACTGCTCCATGGGAGAAAGATGAGGCAGTCTATTTCAATAAAGATTTACAGGCTTGGAGTCCCTGTGGGGCAGTTCTACTCATTCCTAAAGAGTTCACTGAGTCAGAATTGACTTAGTGGCGGTGGGTTTGGTTTTAGAAGCTTCTACTGAGCATCCCAATGAATAAGGAAGACTGAAGAAGAGTGGATACTTTTGAGTTGTGGTTGGAAAAGAATGCTAAGAGTATCATGGTCTGCTAAAAGGACTAACAAATCTGTCCTGAAAGAAGTGCAGCCGGAATGCTCCTTGGAAATGAGAATGGCCAGACTTTTTCTCACCTACTTTGGTCATGTTGTCAGAAGGGACCAGTCCTTGGAGAAGGATATCATGCTTGGTATAGTAGAGGGTTAGTGAAAAAGGGGAAGACCCTCAATGAGATGGAGTGAACAGTGGCTGCAACAATGGGCTCAAGCATAGCAAGGATTGTGAGGCTGGCACAGGATTGGGCAATGTTTTGTTATGTTGTACAAGGAGTTGCTATGAGTTGGAGCCAACTCGATAACACCTGACAATAGCAACATTGAGAGTCCCTAGGAGGGGTTGGATCTCTGGTAGCATAGTGCTTAAGGCACTTGACTGCTAACCAGAAGGCTGGCAGTTCAGACCCACCAGCCACTCCTCCAAAGGAAGGTTGGGCAATCTACTTCCATACTGATACTGCCTCGGAAACCCAAGGAGGGGTCGCTATGAGTCGGGTCTGACTCCACGGCACATAACAACAACAGGAGGGGTAGGTGGTTGACATGTTTAGCTGCTAACCCAAAGATTAGAGGTCCTTCAGAAAAATCAGCCATTGGAAACCCTGTGGAGCACAGTTCTACCATGACACACATGGAGTTGCCATTAATTAGGTTCAACTCCCCAGCAACTGTTTTTTAAAGGTTCTATAAACCAAATGTTTTACATGTAATTTTTCATCTAATTTGCACATATGTGGTATGTATTATTGTCCATATTTTACAGGAAAGAAACATGAGGCTCAGAAAGGTCAGGGAACCTGCTCAAAACTATGGTGCTAGAAACTGGTGGAGCCACCTAGACTTACCTGACTCCAGAGTATGCATTCTTACATAGTGATATCGTGTGACCTAAGTTCACTTATTAGCTCTGTGACCTTGGAAAAGTATTACTTCAAAAGATAGTTATAAGGATTAAATGAGATGTGATCCATGCTAATCAATTAAGCCTTTAACCATAAAACTTGACAAATGTTCCAAAACCACTGTCATTGAGTTGATTCAGACTCATAGCAACCCTATAGACAGAGTAGAACTGCCCTATAGGCTTTCCAAGGCTATAAATCTTTATGGAAGTAGACTGCCTCATCTTTCTCTCGTGGAATAACTGGTAACTTCAAACCGCCAATCTTTTAGGTTAGTGGCTGAATGCCTTAGCCACTGCCCCTTCATTGGTTACTTACCAAAAAAAAAAAAAAAACTCACTGCAGTCAAGTTGGTGCCAACTCATAGCAACCCCTCCTTGCATTTCCAAGGCAATATCTTAACAGAAGTAGATTGCCCAGTCTTCCTTCTGAGGAGTGGTTACTAGGCTGACATAATTTGTTTTGGAATTCAGAGGACTTAGCTCTTCCTACAGACTTCGTATCACCTATAGAACTCTCCTGTGTGTTTGCAACCCAGAGCTGCATTAATGTCTGCTGACAAGGTAATTTGGCAGTGAAACCAGTTAGTTGGTATCACAGGGAAGACAATTACCAGGCCTAGAGAAGAATTAGTCAAAAAACATTTAACATTATCTATTTGATAGACATGAATGTGGCTCAAGGAGTAAGGAACTATTGTCTTGGGCACAAATATTAATTTACACAAGTTCTGACATGAGTAGTATTTAGAAACTCTTATCTCCTGGGTGCAAAGTATACCTGGCCTTTGCTCTGGTGGCGTAATGCCTAAGGCTGCTAACCAGAAGGTTGGAGGTTCAAACCCACCAGCCACTCCTCAGAAGGAAGGTTGGGCTGTCTACTTCCATAGTGACCACCTCAAAAACCCAAGGAGGGGTCGCTATGAGTCAGATCTGACACAAGGGCAGTGAGTTTGGTTTTTGGTTTTTTGGTTTTGCTGTCCGGACAGAATTAGATTAATGCAAGAGATGAAAGGAACAAGAAGGGGAGGGCAGTGGAGACAAGGGAAGAGAGGAGCCACGAAGGCCTGTGGCAAGGAAAGGCCTAGAGGATATTTGCCTTCATAGCACTTTGTAGCAGTTGAAGCCGACATTCAGGGGAGATATGGAGTGTAAATTCTTTGTAATATATATGTCCCGCTAATTATATCAAACTCCATATTACCTCAAAAACATTTTTTCAATTTCATTCAAAATGCTTTCCATTATTGAAAACACATGCTTTCAATGAAAAATTAACAGCAGGAACTAGTTTGGTCTTGAAAGGTTAAAGTAAAGACAATTTGCTTCTTACTTGATTTAAATAAATTAGCATGAAAATGAGTCAAGTCATTGCAAACATCTAAGTAATGGATGCTTTCATCTTGGTTTGGTTTGGTTTGGTTGGCTGTTGTTTTTGGTTCTTTTTTACTTTTTATTAGAATTGTAGACTCAAAAAGAAGTTACAAAAGCAGTACAAAAGGGCTTAGGTATCCGTCACACAGCTTCCCACAGTTGTGACATCTTACATGACTGTAGCGCATAATAATCAAAACCAAGAGGTTGACGAAACTACATACAATATTGTTAATTATACTAACTCAGATTTTCTTGCATTGTATGCACTAATTTTTTTCATCTTTATGAATGATTCTATGACATTTAATCACATGTATAGAGTCCTATAACCAACATCAAAGTCAAGATTCAGAACTGTTCCATCACCCACCAAAGGACTCCTTCATACTGCTCCTATATAGTCATACCCTTCCTTGTCCTTATTTGGCAGCCATTTACAACATCTATATAATTATGTCGTGTTAAGAATGTCACCAAAAAAACTGCAGTATATGGGGCAAGATGGCAAAATAGGCAGACAAAACTGAACAGACCCTCTTCAACAAAGAAAAGAAGGACCAATTAACATAGATACAGAAAATAATCCTGGAACCCAGAGCTTTGAAAGGAAAGATAAAGAAGTGGACTAAACTCCAGCTAGTAGAAGAACCTGTGTGAAAACAACAAAAAAGGAAACAGTAAGGAGCTGCGGACTGTCAGCAATCCTGAAGGCACAGACAGCTTGGATATTGCCAAGTGGTATTAGGAACTAAGAATTAACCTAAAAATCAGCCCTGCTAGCCAGGGTCTACACAGAGGACTGCACTGGTGTCTGGTAAATAAAAAGGGAAGCAGCAAAGAGAGAAAAGGGCTGAGCTATGGACTTTTGCCTGTCTGGAGGGTGCAGCCATTTTGAAGGATTACAAGCAGTTTAACCATTTTGGATATTTAAAGTGACAGCATTCTCTCAGATTTCAGGGACCT